TCTCCAAACATGCTCACAAAATTAATGGTTGTCCCCACCTGTATTAAATAATGGGCATGGAAGGGGAGAAACAAATTACTGCCGTGCCACCTTCTAGTATCTGATCATTCAGCCTTCCTAGAAGGTTAGCATATGTTTGGTCATTAAGTTTGCAAAAATAGTTAAGGCATTAACCAGAGCAAGATGGATTACTTATGCAGCAAATTATAGCAATACAAAGCAAGTTATTTTAATTAAAAGCACAAGAACCATGACAGATAGCTAGCACTTTAATATTGCTTGATTGGTGTAGTGGTTAAGTGTGCGGTCTCTAATCCGGGAGAACTGGGTTTGATTCCCCACTCCACTTGCACCTGCTGATGTGACCTTGGGTCAGTCACAAGCTCTGGCACAGCTGTCCTTGAAAAAGAGCAGTTTGTGTCAGAGTTCTCTCAGCCCCACCCACCTCCCAGGGTGTCTGTTGTGGGGAGGGGAAGGGAAAGGAGTTTGTAAGCCGCTCTGAGACTCCAAGTGAAGGGCGGGGTATAAATCCAATTTCTTCTCTTCTTCTTCTTCTTATACTATTTTATTATTTATTAGGAATTGTATTAATATACTGAATTGTGTTTTATGGATTGTGAGAATTTTATTCTGTTGTAAGCCGCCTGGAGCCAGCCTAGGCTGGAAGGGTGGGATAAAAATAAATAAATTAAATAAATAGTGCTTTAGAAAGGCTTATTGGCTAGGCATATAGGATAGGACGTGCTTGTCTAGTCCATAATATTCCATATATCCCACCTGTTAGATTGGAGGCATTGGCCTGTTCAAATATCTATTACACAAAGAATTTGATGTAACTCTTGTTGTGTAATGTAACAGTTCTAAAATCCTGACAATGTGTCTAGGCTGTGAGAGGGAGCTTACATGACTTAATACTACTTTCATTTTTTTTTTAAATGCCCTGCATATGGGAAGCTGTGTTACAGAGAAGAACTCTAGCATAATTCCACTGGTGCAGCCTTGTATGTTCAGGGAATGTAAATGGAAGAAGCATTCAGTTATATGAGCCCCAAACTACAATTTTAGGTGGTAAAGTTTAAACAAGCTTATCACCTCAGTGAGAAGTAAACCTTATCTGGGCTCTAAAGCATGACCAGTTCTCTAAATGGAAACTGTTGGCTAAGCACAGAGTTCTTTGCTGCAGAATTCCTCTTGGGTTTCGTCACCTGAAAGAAATTATTTCCCCTTTAAATTTATTTCTTCAACAGAAATTTAGACATATTTCATTTATTTGTGTGCATGAGACAGGTTTCTGTCTTGGTGCAATTATGTGTGTGCAGTAATAAGAGATAAAGCTTTCACTAAACATGAATTGGATGAACCTGACTAAATAAGCGAGTTTCCTATGTTTGTCAGAAATCTAGTATAGCTTGTACTACAGGGGCAATACTGGAGTCTATGTGTTCTTGGCTAAATTAAGTAGCTTGATATCAATGGTATAAGTTTAATTCTCTCTCTTCTCCCCTTCTGCCCCATGTGATGGCATACAGTTGACAAATTGGGACATTTTGAGGTAGTATGTTTTCATTGATTCACTTTGATATTAGGCTACTAAGGCAGGGGCACTGGGTTTGGATTAACAGTGTAAAAGTTGGTTGTCCTTTGACGAGAACAATGATCCAGGTGACTGCCCTGTAAAACTTGGAGACTATGGATATATAACCAAGGAACAGGTTTTCTAACCTTTCACAAGTAGAGTAAAGGTTGTATCTTTTTCGTAACATCAAGCATATGGGGAAACCATGTGCTAAAATGTGGTTTTTTAATGCAAATAACTTGCATAACGAAAGCAATATGAAGCCATCCGGCTTGGGCTTTGGGAACAGAAGGGTTTTGTATCCTAATGGATCACTTGCCATTTGAGATTTTCATATGGCGATATGAACTCCATCAAAACGAGTGTCTCAGTTGAGAACTTTCAAATAGGAATAACTGTATAAAACAATTTACAATAACAAACTCCAGACAAGTAGGTTGAATAGGAGGCAAAGTTAGAAGAAAACCTAAATTTGTCATGGCTAATCAGAACCCCTGAGTTTTAAGGCTTAGAGATGACTGATGCCAGTGTAGTATAGTGGCTAGTGCACTTGATTAGAATTCAGAAGGTCAAGGTTCAAAATCCCCACTATGCCATGGAAGCTTACTGGGTGACTTTGGGCCACTATCTCACAGCCTAACCTACAACTTGTGAGGTGAGGATAAAACGGAAGAGGGGGCAACAGTGTTGTGAGTCTTTCTTACAGAGGCATAGCCTGATTGATTGTTGGTGCACTGTTCATTCGTACATTGTGAAGACGTCATCTCTTCAGTCGTGGATTGTTCATTGTTACATTGAAAGGATGGCATCTGTCCATTGGTTCACTGACTTCTCTACATCCATTGCTGTTTCACTTCAAAATTCCTGAGAGCCAGTTTGGTGTAGTGATTAGCAGCACAGGTTTGATTCCCCACTCCTCCACATTCAGCTGCTGGTGTGACCTTGGATCAGTCATAAGTTCTTTCAGAGCTGTTCTCTCATGAGCAGTTCTTGAAAGAGCTCTCTCAGCCCCACCTACATCACAGGGTGTCTGTTGTGGGGAGGGGAAGGGAAAGGGATTGTAAGTTGCTCTGAGTCTCCTTTGGGTAGTGAAGGGTGGGGTATAAATACAATCTCTTCTTCTGTAACCCCTAGATGCAAAAGAGGTAGGCCAAGTTTGAGAAGCTGAATCTTTGGGTAGGATTCAGCAACAGCTGCTGGATGTATATACTTACACTGTTAATTGTGGTACTTGAAGCAGAAGAGAACTGGGGAGATGGATTTACAGACAGGACAGTCCTCTTTTCTTCCTGTGCTACATGTGGCAAGGGGAGGAAGGAAGAGATTTCTGCAAATTATGAGGCAGGGGATCCAAGCTGGTTTATGGCCCTGTCTCTGTGTCCTTGTAAGTGTAAGGATGTTCATGACCAAACATTGTAAACTCTATCAGTAGCAGTGATGCAGGATTTCTGGGGAAGTGTCAATAGAAACATTTCACATTCAAATGTAAACAATGTTGGCAATAGAAGACAATAACACCATGTACAAGCCAGAACCATGTACAAGTATTGGGGTTTGTCCATACTTCATATCCCACATTTAGCTCATCTAACGTGGTTGATTTGCAGCACAAACGGCCCTGACAACTATAGATAAACAGTCTCTATTTACATAAGCGGGGCAGAAAATTTTCCATGGGAAAATACAGCATCCAAAAACTTTCTGAAAAAATTTCTACTCTCACATCACTGGTAAGTGGTAGCGGGCCAATCAGTAATGCTGGTGCTGTGTTCTGCCTGCCTGCCTCTCTCTCTAACACATACAAACACACACACACTGTGGTATGCTTTTAGTGTGCTTTCTCTTTTCTTCCATTCCAGCTTGGGAAACCTGTGATGAAATTTTTTAAAAATGTTGCACTGCAATTAAAGTAATTCTTCTAATAAGTGCAACAGTGTTGAGCCTTAGTCCTTAACTAAATTGACTGGAGTTGTATTTAATGAGACTGAAGTTGGTATGAGCCTGCTGTTTGTACGTAAGCAGCCTATTGTGTTAAAAGACCTTGTGACCTCTAATATGGTAAATTGGTGGGGGGTGAGGAAGAAAACCTTGTTCGGCTTTAAAACGTTAATTTGCTAACGGCAACCGTTGCTTGCCTTCTTGGTGACGGAAATAGTTTTCAAATTATATAAGAACCAGCTCTCATGGTTTTGCAACTGAGCTAACCAAAAGTCGCAGTACTGTGAAAACAGTTTGCTTTCATAAGAAAGCAATGAGGAAATATTACAGATTTACCAAGTTTGCAGAAATTGGTTAGGTTCAGATTTGTTTCTCAAAATTAGAGGGTCATCATACGAGCTTGGAAACTTTTGCCCTAAAGCATGGGCCTCAATCCAATTAGGTACCCATTTATTTCCTTGAGATCAGTTATATAAATATAGGGTTGCCAAGTGTATCTTCGCTGGGAGCGGGGGGCTCCCGGCTGGCGTCTTGTGCGCGCGCGTCACCCAGAAGTGACGGGAGGACGCCGGGCACGCTGGGGGTGGGGGCACGGCCATACAAGGGAAAACCATAGAGTTTTCCCTTGTATGGCCATGGCCCCACCCCCAGCGTGCCCGGCGTGCCCACGTCACTTCCTGGTGATGCGCACGCGGGGTGGGGTTCCCCCCGGGGCCCGACTCCGCGGCGGCGGAAATCGGGCCTCCAAAGCGGGGGTTTACCCGCCCCCACTTGGCAGCCCTATGTAAATATTATCTGTTTTGCCACTTCTGTATAGATGTTCCTGTAGAAAATAACATGCTTTGCAGTTCCCTATGCACAGAGAATGATATTGGCTTTCTGTGTACATTCGGTATGTCTGTTAGTGAGGGACTTGAGATGAACAACAACTTAATATTACAGTGAGTTAGGCCCACTTCAAGCATACTGTTGGGGTATAGATCTGGTGAATGAACTTTGATTGTGTAAATAGGGTTACTAACTCTGGTTTGGGCAATTCCTGGAGAGTTGTGGGGTGGAGCCTGGAGAGGATGGCATTTGGGGAGGAGAGAGACCTCAGCAGGATACAGTCCCATTGAATGCAGCCTCCAAATCAGCCATTCCCTCCAGGGAACTGATTTCTATAATCTCGAATTCAGTTATAATTCTATGAGATCTGCAGGCTCTGCCTGGAGGGTGGCAACCCTTTGTGTAAATATACTTTTCTCCAAAATTTAAATTCTATCCAAATCCCAAAAAAATATTCCCAGTCTTTCCATAACAGGAAATCATGAGGTTTCTCAGTTCTCCTTGTAAATTTTGTATTAAACTGCACAATCAGAGATCTGCTAACCTCCAAACTATCCCAGGCTTTGTGTATCGAACACATGATCGCACAAATGTCAAAATCTAGTATCTTGTGTTGCAAGAATTAGTTGCAGTTAATCTTATTGATGTCTTTATTTAGGTACCAGCTACTGACAATGTCGATGGAAGTCCAAGACGCACATATTGCAGAAGTGAAACCTCTGGTAGAGAAAGATGAGGTAAGCGGAACTGAGTTGACTGTGCTCTGCGCTTCTTAATTGGGTCTAGAGCAGGATCTCATGACTCAGCAAGGTCTTTCTGTTCTCTGTTGAAATGATAGTAGCCTAATGCAAGGGGGGAGTAATGTTCAGTTGTCATAATTTACCCTAAACAATGTTGTTTGGTATTTCAGCTGGGAAACAGGGGAGCCTTTAGCCCGTCAGAGCTTGGCAGTACTGCATAGCTGTTATGCAGTGCTCTTGCTGACTGGGGTGACTGGACACACAGTTGTCCTGTGCATACAAATTGCTCTGTGCCCTTACAGCCCTCATAGGACCGTAAAGTCATGGTCTGAGAAGTGTTAAATGTGAAGGGGGGAAAACCCTTTGATCTGAAAGCGAAGATTTTCAGGCAGTTAAGAGCCAGTATTAAATACTTGCAAATTTTGCATTTGAAACTTAAATTGCAACTTGCAGATTCTTTTGAACTTATGCCGTAATTATGATACTGTTTGACATTTGGAGCATATGGAGCAGAGAGTCCATCGGTGGCTATTAGCCACAAGGTATAGATAGGAACTCTCAGTCTGGGGCAAGGGATGCTCTGTATTCTTGGTGCTTGGGGGGGCAACAGTGTGAGGGCTTCTAGTGTCCTGGCCCCACTGGTGGACGTCCTGGTGGCACCTGGTATTTTTGGAACAGCAAAACAACTGTGAGCTGAAATACCCACAAGTATAAATGTACAAAAAGAGACTTCAGTGAAGTGAAAAGAAACATATAATAGCAATATCAGTAACAAATATTACATATCGGAATGAAAAATCCACACAATCCATGTCTTCTCTGGACTTGACTGTTTCCCTTCATGGATTGTGTGGATTTTTCATTCCCATATGTAATATTTGTTACTGACTTTATTGAAGTCTCTTTTTGTACATTTATACTTGCGGGTATTTCAGCTCACAGTTGTTTTGTTGTTCCTGGCTGTATTAGACTGTGTGCTGTATTGTTTGTTACCTGGTATTTTTGGCCACTGTGTGACACGGACTGGATGGGCTATTGGCTTGATCTAACATTGGCTTCTCTTATGTTCTTGTGTTCTTATTTTTTCCAGGCAATCACACATCTCCTGCCAGACTTTGATGTTCAGGTAAGTGTGTTTTCCATATGGTAAAAAAACCCAAATTCCCGTAATGGGAAAGCTTACTATGATGAGGCCTGTACTTAGGTGCCCCTCTGTCTTGGTACACACCTGCCTTCTTCCTCTTGACCTGCTGTGGGTTTTGTTGGGCTTGAACTACTGAACCTCAAACCTGAGCGAGAAATACAGCACTGCTGGCCAAATATTTTATCATCAAAGCAACGACCAGATTAAACAGTGTTGTGAGCCAGGTCCCAGGCAACGTTCTATTGTTGCTGTGGATTTGGCTTAGATCTTTGTTTGATCTGGTCCTTGTTCCCTGGCTCTGGTACTGTTCAAAATAACACAACAGGGAGGAGTGTTTGGTCAGCGGTGACTTGCTTCTTGTCCACGTCTAAGCTTCCTGGAATGATGATTCTAAATCACTTTTTATTGCTTTAGCCTTTACCCACTTTAAGGCATTTGTCCCACTTGGATATCTCTGGAGATAACCTTTCTCCCCCCCCACCCCCTAGATACTCTGGTTTGATAAAAGGATGTTTTGGAATGTATTGCCGCAATCCTCCCTAGGCATTTTTTCACAGAATCTTCATTACTCATAGTTTTCAAGCTGTAATAATAATCCTCTGAGGAATTTAAGGTGATCCACTCGTTAACTTTGTCTTCCACTGCCCTGTGAAACAGGTTATGGGCCAGTTTCAGACGGGGAGGGAGCCATGTTGGTCTGCAATACAGGAGCAAGATTTGAATCCAGTAACACCTTAAAAGACCAACAGGATTTACAGGGTATAAGCTTCCAATTGTTAAAGCTCCCTTTTGTCAGCTTTGGACTGTTAGAGTGGAGATCAGATCGCTGAGCCCTTATATCCAAATCAGAAGGTAGGAGAAGTTTTGCAGAGAAAGGGAGTCAGGCTGCGAAGGTACAATGTGCATTGTAATCAGCTTCATTGGCGCATGAGAGAAATGCTTAGGGGGAAGCGAATCAGCATCTGTACCTGTAGTGAGATACTCTAGGTTCTTATTCAGCCCATGGGGGGCGGGGAGTCCATTGTTCTGAATTTGTGAATGAACTAAAGTTCAGAAATCTTTGTCTGTAATTTTCCCTTGAAGCTTTTCTGTTTGAGAATGGGCTATGGGCCAGTCATTCTCTTTCAGCCTAGATGTGCGACATGGACGCGACATTGTATTTAGAATCATAGAATCACAAGAGTTTGAAGCTAGTCAGCTATTCTTAGCAACTATATAATGCAGTGTGTTTTATATAGGAGTGGAACAGCATAGGCACTGAAACAAGAACTTTGCATTAAACCAGGATATCACAACTAAATAACTGCATAACGATGCCTTAAATAGCAAAATCATAACTATTCTTAGTTTTATGACTTTCTGAACAGATACATGGCTGCACTAGATCTACTCAGCTTTCCAGGTTCTTTGTTTCCTTGCCATAAGCTCACTGCGTCCATCTGCCTGTATTCTGAGGAGGTCATTATGCACTTACTGCCATATTGCTGTAGGTGGCAGAAATGACTTGAGCAGCCTCCGAAATTACCCTGGCTGCTGGCCCTCTGGCCATTAGCTGAACTCTTTCTAAGGCCATGTTTGATTTATTAGAACCTTGGCCATCCCTCGCCATTATAAACTGTGTTGCAATAGTTGAAGTCTCCATGCAGAGGAGGGTGGGAGAGGGGAAGGGCCGATACTTAAAGAAGCTGGGGGAAAGGCACAGTTTTCCTAGAGCTTTGTAACAGCTAGCATGCAGAACTCAAAAGACAAACGAGCGCTTAGTGTATCTCCTGCCGTCTGGCATGCGCATATAATAGCATTAAAGATGCCCTATATAGCAGCCTGAAGGACAGTACGTGCATGCACAACGCTAGTCGAGCTTATGGATGTACCTTTTACCTGGCAATCCAAGCTGCTTAGATCTAGTTCTCCCCCGTGTCTGGTCTGTACTGCTTCACAGCACAGGTGTGATCTTGCAAGATTGAATGCTTCACCTTACAAGAAAATGTTCTGTGTGTAGGAATCCTTTTTCTTAAAGGAGAAATATGCATGCAATTGTGTGAGCCCCCTTCTGCAGATTGGAGTGCTACGGCCCAGTCCCAGGCCTAACACTTCAGTAGGAAGCAGCCGTGAATTCTAGATTTATAGCATGGGCTTAATCCTGGTCCATTCGTGTCACAAACATAAGCAGAGAAAATGGTCATTACCAGTAGGATCTCTTTGAAGTGAAAGACCTGATTGGGTTGTAGTGATGGTAACAGCTTCTCCAAACATTAGCTCAACATTAGGCTTGCTTTGTGCCTGTTGTCCCAAAGTCAGTGGAACACTGGGCAGCTGCTATTTTTTTCCAGTCACTTGAAAATTGCATGCTTTTCACAAAGTATGTGCCTTTTTCTGTTAAAACACAAGCAATAGCTATCTAGATGGAGGAAGTAAACACTAAGCTAAAGATTAATCTAGCTTTATCTTCATTTGCACTGAGGTAAGTATGTCTAGCAGCATAGACCTGACCTGTTTGACTGATACTGTGCAACTTGGAAAGGACTATAACTGAAGTTATAATGTGTGACTGACTATACTCTTGGTTCTTGGCCATATGCCATATTTTTAACGCCATCCATAATGTGTTGCCTTTATTACTCTACAGAGTGAATGTGCGTCTGCTTTATTAAATATATACATGTTAATAATGCACGTTTTCTGTTCAGGCATTTAATACTGCTGGTTCAAAAAAGTCAAGCGTGAACTTTGTCAGGGTGTACAAAAGTGGAATATATGGCTCATAGTGAACAAAAGGTGACTTTCCTAAAATATGAATACCCAATATATTCACTGGAGCAGCCAATGATGCTTGCTTTAGGGATAGGCATGCTACTATATTCCCAAGCTTCAAGGAATGTTTTGTATATTCTGGAACACCAAAGCTGGGCTTATCCCAAGCTTCAAGGAATGTTTTGTATATGCTGGAACACCATTGAGCACAGCATAACAACTATTAGCACAGTCTTGCACATGTACCTTAAAGCTTTCCTGTAGCACTGCTTTGGAGTCCCTCAGGATTTCTTATCCTGCCATTTGTTAGCCTTGAAAAAATGTGTTGAACAGACCTCAGTGGCAATATGGAAAGCTGTTTGCATAGTCAGTGAATGGTCTTCTTCCGTCTATATGCATTGCTTGATGTCTCATCTCATGATGCCTGCAGGTGAAAATATAAATGGTCTCAGTTTTAAAAACTATTGTGCTTAAACTGACATCAGCTGATACAAAAGATACTGTCTGTGGTGTGTGATCAGTAACTGCTTCTTCATGCGTGGAAGTTACCAGTTGATGACATAGACCAAGCGATGAACATGCATTGTGTGAACTGACCCTCAGAGACGCATTTGATGGGGGAGTATATTAAAATAGCATGAGTTGCTGTGGTATTCTGGACAATCCGGTTTAGTGGCATGTGATTATATGCCAAACAGAGAAGCTGGTCTTGGAGTACATAGCCATTGGGGTGTTCCTCTTGATGTTCATTTGGAATTGAAATAAACTTTTATCAGCATTGTGACTTGAACTGCTTAATGTCTGCAGTTCAAAATGTGATGGTTTCCACCTCTGTCTTCTACTTGTCTAACATTTGTGTGCAGTTTTTAGACTACTGAGCAGGAACGTTCCTTTTTTAAAATCTAGAGATGCATGAACAGATGGCACATTTGTCATTATCCTTCTATCGGATTAGTGTACCTTGGATTTTTTTCTCAATACAGTGTTTTAATACAGATTGGTCAGTAAAGAGCCTCTTATTGTAACGTTGTTGTTGATTAGGATGTTCTGCCATCTGTTTTCAGCATGGAACATGTTTAAGGGGAAATTCTTGCAAAAATCTTACTGACATATCTATAGTTTAATCATATTGTGAAGTTGACAGCTTTGTCATTGTGAGAAGATTTTGATTTGGCTGTTACTTGGTGTTCTCTCAAATTCCTTAGCAAGTAACCTTTTGCTCTTATATGGGAGAGTATTAAATTTAACAATCCAGCAATGAAGTCTTTAAATGTCAATGCTGTAATATACAAGAAAGGGAGCAGTTAGCAGCTTATGGCTATCTTGTTTTCTTAGTGCTCCCTGAAGTCTATATCTACATACTTGAATCTAAGACCAAATTAGCAACTCCACCCTCTTTGTTCCAGTGATATATACTTCAATTCGTACACAGTAAGAGAGAAATGCCTTGATCTGGATAGCCCAAGATGGCCCCATCTTGTCAGACCTTAAAAACTAAGCAGGGTCAGCCCTAGTTAATAGCTGGGTGGGAAACTGACAAGGAATATCAGGGTCACTATGCAGAAGCAGGCAATGGCAGACCACCTCTGAAAATGTCGAGAAAGTGTGCAACTGCAATAAAAAAAAAGGCCAACACTATGCTGGGGATTATTAGGAAGGGAATTAAAAACAAATCAGCCAGTATCATAATGCCCCTGTATAAACTGATGGTGCGACCTCATTTGGAATACTGTGTACAGTTCTGGTCACCACACCTCAAAAAGGGTATTATAGCATTGGAAAAAGTGCAGAAAAGGGCAACTAGAATGATAAAAGGGTTGGAACACTTTCCCTATGAAGAAAGGTTAAAACGCTTGGGGCTCTTTAGCTTGGAGAAATGACGGCTGAGGGGTGACATGATCGAGGTTTATAAGATTATGCATGGGATAGAGCAGGTCGAGAAAGAAGTATTTTTCTCCCTTTCTCACAATACAAGAAC